AACGAATGTGACTCGCTCGTTTCATTTGAATCCTTCGATTTAATTTATTATTTGCGTATTTAAATTATTTTAATCCTTTTAAACATATTCTCAGAATTAATATTTTTCCTTTTTTTTTGTTTTTTGCTATTGGCATTTTCATTCAATTTTATTTCTTTGTCACATTATTTTGGTAATTTCCCTTCAATTATCTTTCGTTTGTTTACAGATTTTTATTATTCATTTAATTAATTTTTCTGATAATTATTTTAATTAATTGTGATTTTTTTTAAATGAAAATGATTTTTGAGTATTTTATTTTATTTTTTTTCTTCTATTTTAATAAATAAATTTTTAATATCTTTTAGAAGAAATAGAAGAAAAAAATTAAAATAAAATACTCAAAAATCATTATCATTTTATAAAAATTACAATTAATTGAAATAATTAACAGAAAAATTAATTAAAATTAATTAAAATTAATTAAATTAAATTAATTAAAAATCTGTAAATGATGCGCCTTCTATCTGTAAATGATGCGCCCTCTATTAAAAAAAATGCTAACTTCAGAATTTTAATAATCGTCTTGTTTTCTTCTAACACGCATAAAATGCATGATATCAAATAAAATTGTTACCTCCAAGGGTTTGTTTTCTATTTTACGCCAAGCAAAGCATATTCCTTTATCGAGAACTGAATAGCTGGTCTCCCTTAAGACCCCATTAAGGCTCCATTAATTATTACTATTAGACTTAGATTATAAATTTTGATTTCTCGTTGTTTCTATGATGTGACTAAGAAGAATAAAAAAAATAATGAGATAAGCCGACATCAATAAGTGGGTTATTAGTATTTACTTATAAAACACGGAGGTACCAGCAAGCATTAGCTTAGTAATAGTAAGGTAAGGTTTTAAGCTTATATGTTCATATCTCTCTCCTCTGATTACTGGAATGTAGTTTCCTCAATGCTATGGAAATCTTCTTCATTCATTTCTAAGAAGAGGTTTTAGTGGGTTCAAGTCTCAAGTCCCAAAAGCAGTAGGTTAGTTACAAGATATTATATAACTAATACTCAAATTCTTTCTTATACGTCTAAAATCTGAAGCCCTTCAACCTCTTTGCAGGCTCTTGACGGTCCAGAAGACTTACAGATAGTCCTTTGAGATGATTACTTATCGATTTTGCATATAATTTTTCCCACATCTACGATTTATCTTTTTTAAACAAGGTCTTGAAAAATGGGGAAATTTGATACAAACATGATACATTATGGAACATTAACGGTAGTAAGAGACAGTACTGTAGATAACACGCAGTATTTCTATGCGTCAATATAGAGCTCAACCATAGAGTATTAACAATACAAGGTATTATATAGTATAGATAACACTCAAGAGTTTTAGACTGATATCCCCTCAGTATATCCATATTGAAGATATATGCTGTGCTGGAAAATTGTACAGCATATACTCAAACCAATTTCAGAATAACTTTGAACAGCAGAATTTTACCATGCAAAGTTTAACTGAGGACTTAACGAAACTAACCATTACATTGTTCTTGTGTTTTTGAGGATGAAATACAAATTTCTAGTATATATATGAGTTATTTAAATGAGCTCATAATCCGCATGTGACCCTAATTTTACTGACTTACGCTTAGGAAGTTACTAAGGTTTCTTAAAGAATACTTTTATTTTCAAAAATTCAAGTTATGTTCCTATAAACCCTTTCAAAGATTATAGAGGCCCATAATTTTTATGGATTTGATTGTAATGAACCTTTTCATACAATCGTCAACCCACAATAATGATTCTTCTTAGAAGAAAAAGATACAGATGAAGAAGTTACAGAAGATGTGGATCTTCTACATAAGAAATAAAATTCGCTTAATAGATCAGTACAGATCAAATCAGTCTTTACATATGTTATATATATTAATATTTATTTAATTATTTAATTTAATGATTGCTTCAGTGACACACATTGGATTGAAGACTTTTTAAGAAGTAAAATATATGGATCTTTCAGACAAGATAAACTCCAGAAAATCTTAATATTAATAACTACAGAACTAAGTGAAGCATTTTCTAGATATATAAATTGGGTACTGGCAAGCCGAGCCAACTTTTTATAAGAAATCATTCATTTTGAAACCGTTAATTTTTGAAAAGATTGCTTTAGTTTGCAGACTATAAGATTTACAGACTTTGCTGTCTAAAAAATTGCTGAGCAAATATATCAAGAATCTATTTACTCAGGACCCATTTTACTGAATAGTTAATTCCCAATACTATGCAATATGAAAGACGCTATAAAGGTTTAGTAGTCGACAGAGTAATGATTTAGCGAGTAGCGAGAGGTAATGATCTAATTTCCAGTCGTTTTTATGCAATGAAAGAGCCATACCTTAGCTCTAGGTTTTGTTTAGTACAAATAGAGTCAGAAGAAATATGAAAGTGATATCCTAGTAATCAGTTTTTCTTCATGACGGGGAGTGTGGTATCCAAACACAACCTAGGCCCTATTTAAAAAGTACAGGATCACCTAAGCTATTATTGACACGTGTGTTTAAGTAGGGTGTTTTTACTCCATATCGTGATTATCCCAATTGTTTTAGTTAAGTTTTATGTGCCTTCTTATTTCAATTCATTAAATATTATATTATATTTTGTATGCATTTAAATTAATTTAAATTTTATAGTACGGACGAAGTTTTAAAGAAAAAATTTTTGTATTTAACTAAAAACCATTTTATTTATAATTATATAAAAATATTTCTAAAGTATCTTACCCTGATTTATTTCACAAGAGCTTGCATGTTTTGTAATTATATAATGCAAGTCCAATTAGTGTAACAATTTCTTGAAGTGTCAAACTTCTTATCGGTAACCCCATAAACAGGTCCAAGATTAAAATTCCGTGCAAGTCGAATTCAAGATTAAATCATTTTCCTTTACGATTTTTATTAGAATCGCAATTATAACGGCGATTTTAACACGCATAGCGGTACTCGGCACTCATCACAATTTAAATAATTATTATTATTATTAATATCCGGAATGGATCCCCATTGTCCCCTAACGCTATACGGGTAACAACTCACATGTGGAGCACGCAACCTGCAGGCAACACTTGGATTGCATATTGAAATGCAATAAAAATAAAGTGCAACTGTCCAGTGCAGTTGGAACCCACAATTTTATTTAAAAATACAAAAAAAAATATATATTAAAATTTATTATTTTTCGTATTTTTCACATTTATTTTTCTTTAATACCGCAAAAGCTCTTAACATATGAATTGCGAGGAATTGTGTGTATTCGAGACCCTTGTGAAGTTGCCAGCTCCTTGCCCTGGGTCGATTGCTTGGCTCGACTTACCTTGGCTTGCTTTACCGCACAACTTGACTGACCCAATAGGCGTACTGAAGGACTCACTGAAAATCATTAAAAGAAAATGCGTAAATGCGTGCGGAATAATATGAAATCATATGGTATATACCCGTAAAATGCGTATCTGCGTGAAAGCGTAAATTTATGGGATTTCTTTGTGTCGCGGCCGTTTCGGTTGCGATGTTGCGATGCGGCGATGCTGCGATGCTGTGTTGCTGCGCCTGTTGCCGCTACTGTAATTAATTGTTACAACTTTGTGTCGCAGCGGGGCGTGTAAGCCACGACTGTTAATTGCACATTTTCATCAAGTAATCGTCAGAGTAACAACAGCCAACAATGCATGCGTTAAATGCACACTTCGGTGTGCTTCAATTAATCCAAACGTATGCGCTTTAAATGTGCTCACTGCACTCCAGCAAGAACTCGTGCGGCTAAAATCCAACACAAAAAAAGGCGCTGCTCCAAATACTTAACTCAACTATTTAAGTAATGTGTTGTGTATTTTGTGTTTTGTGTAAAGTGCAGTGGTACATTGGTACAGCGGTACCGAGTGTAGTGTAATGTGTATTTGCGTCTTTCATTAAAAGAACTTGATATGGCAATTTTAATAGAAATACAAGTGTGGGCTCAAGTAGTACCAGCAGCTTTAAATTCTATTTATTTTTTAAACCAATAAATCGTGTAATTTCGAATTTAATTTAGTAGAGTTTGAAATTTTTACTTTTAATTCAAGCAATTATAATGGTTTGATATCGTGCAGCTCTGTACGCCCCATGGATCAACACAAAATGCACTAATAACCAATTAAGTTGACAACTTAATTTACTTAAATCCAGTTTAAAAAATATGATACCTCCACCTTATTAGAGTTAAACCAGCATGAGTTTATAGTTTCAATTTAAACTGAGTTAATTGAGATCTTTAACCGTGTTTGATATAAACTAGAATATAATTAATATTAGAAATATAATGCGACCTAAAAGTAATAAACTAATTTACTAGAGAGGTTTCGAAAAGTATTGAACTACAACAACAAAAATTTATTTTATATTATTCTAATTAATTGATTAATTGAATTTTTGGCTGT